CCCCTGCTCTGACACCCTCTCTTTATAGCATCTGGGTTATACACACATGGTTTGTCGTGGCCTGTGGCCTGTGGCCTCTGGCGTGCCCCTAAGCACCGTTCTGCACAGAATAAGGTGCTGGCCCCAAAACCTCAGGCACAACTGACCAATCAATGTCACTGCATGGTGGCAGCCTTAAGTTCTTGCCTTTTCCCCTGCCTTCTTTCTTTTTACCCCCTGCCTGGCCACACCAAACCAGGCTTGACTGTACTGCCTAAACACACACAAAAAGCTTTTTTGTCCCACCGCTCATTTCCCCAAATGGAGCTTCATCACATGGTGTTAATTGGCTGTAATTAAGATGTCTTATGTTTTTTTTAAACAGATGTAGTGACAATTTCAGTCAAGATGGATACCGGTAACCTTGGTTACTGGCACTGTGGTCAAATCTGAAGGCCTTAGGGTAAGACATTTCTAAATAAAAATGTCTTCTACAGCTGAAAATGAAAGACAAGCTAGCGGTTTGTCTAGAGAAGAATAAACTACAGAAAGATATGGCCTGAGGTGGCAAAGCCCATTAAAAGATTGGGAAAGCTCTGAGCATGACCTGAGGTGTCCCTCTTTCATGTTTTATGAACTTAATCTATTCATGTATGATGTATGACTACAAATCATCTCCCTATTGAGAATCATGATTTCTGACAGCTGTGTCCACCTGCTCCATTTCTAACCACAAGACACAGAGAGAAGCTTGATAAGCAAGTGGATGGTCACCATCCTGCATGTGTGCGTGTTGTGCAGTGTGTCAGGCATTCTGCACAGTGTCTTGCGTTCAACATGTCAGCTGCAGTCTTAGTATGTGGCATAGCTCGTCAGCTGTAGGCCCAGGTGGTGACAGCTGTTTTCCTGCCCTGCTCAGACTCTGTGTTCACTCAGAGGCCTTCCCCTTTTAGATATTTAATCTGCCTCTTACTGTACATGGTAATTGCCATCCATGTTGAAATGAGCTTGGGGACAGGGAACTGTGATGATCGTGGCAGCCCATCATGCCCTACCTTGTATTCTCAACGGATTCAGCCTATATTGAACTTCTGGCACTGAACAGAGCAGCGCATTAAGTTGTAACACCCTGTCTCTCTATATTCTTGTTAAACTTTCAATCCAGGCATTACAATTAATATATTAGGAGAAAGGGCACGACACTGGCATAAAGGTAATAGGGAAAGCCACCAGAAATCATAACTTAGCACACAATTTCCAGCTTTAAATGTGTTTCCCCCTTTTGTCCCCAAGGGTTATGTGATACTCGATTTCCCCATCTGCTGGCTGTAAAAGGGCATTGCAGTGTGAACATTAAGCATGCCAACCACTGCTGCACTTCCACAACAATTGATTGTAGTCTACCTGAGGGATAAAATACAACAACAGCTTGGAAAGAATGGGCTGCCAAGTGTGCAGGATATAGCTTGTGTAGAAAAATGGAGTGACCCTAGAGTGGCATCAGAGAGGGTGACGGAGCACTGCGTGAGGTCATGATGTTTACAGCTGTGGTGCCAGGCTGGAGACAGGGAGAGGTTGGAGATTGGTAGACAACAGCTACATAGACCGTGTAAAGTTCACCAGACAATGAATGCCAGTGAAAAGCTATTATCTCAAAGGAGTACTTTATCCAAAAACAGACTGACATATTTTTTATTCTAGCATACTCTACAGCTTGTTTGGCTTTATAACATTTGAGTTTGCAGCTATCATTTGAAGTCATCCAGGACAACAAACCCTCATTTTGAGGTTACTGAGTTGCCTATTTAATACACAATGCTTAAGGCTGCTATAATTAATATATTTATATTACTGTAACAATGGCTCACATGACCATGTGCAATGTGAACCAGGTCACTTGTATCTGTAGTTCCACTCAGCTTTACAGAGCATTTCTCGGCTAATTGTTTTGGTTTTATGACAACTAGTCCACTGGATATGCAAGTAAACAACTGTTGTTTTAAAATATTAGCCATATCATAAGGCTCTCATAATGTGATGATGTGTCAGTTGCGTTTAAGGCTTATTCCTCTGCTCCCATTGGCCAAAAAAATTAGTTAATTACAGTTTAATTACAATGTATGCATTTTAGTGATATACTGTACATGCAGAGCATATTGTTAATAAAAGATGCTACAGAGCTGCATGTTTTGAGACTACTAAGACCTGGACACCTGCAAACAGATAGCCTGAGTCTCAGGTAGACAGCTTACTGCACATCTCTCAGAGATAGAGCAGACAGTTCATTCCCAATTTCACCCAGGATACCCTCTCTGAGCATAGACTCCCAAACATTCACTCTGGCTGAGGTCATTGCCTCTTCCTAACGCTTCACCCCATCACAACTGTATAGAGTGGAAATCAGCTGAGATTATCACCTGCCTGCAGGCAGTCTGCATATGTGTGTGATTTCACAATACTGTAAGTGTGCATGTGAGTGGCTCTCAGTAGAGACAATACCTGCACGTTCTCGCACTGAAGAGACTCTTTTAAGTCATTTTAGTCTTTTAATAACAGTAGGTTTACTGTGCATATAGAATGTTAATAACATATTCCTGAGTGAAATAACCCTGTCTTGATTATAACAGAATGATTTGCTCTGTGACAACTTGTTATATAATATATTTACTGGCACCCATTTCTACAAAATTCCAGAGGTAAACCGCTTCATCTGGATTAAGTTGAAAGCTGGCATTTTGTACTTCAGAAATATGTGCTGCAGATGCATCAGAGACCCTGTATGTATTAACATTATGTCAAGCAGAACATGCTGCTCTCCTTTACACACATGGTGATCATGTGTGTGTGATCACCAGCAGCTTATATCCAACATATGTTTTGGTGTCTTGCCCACTGTCACTCCAAACAGCTGTGGCCTCACACGTCTGTCCTATTTATGATGGTTAACGGGTTACAGTGCATCTCTACCTTCAAAATGGGTCTTTGATGATGAATCCAGCCCTCCAGAAATACATCCATCTAGTTCCTGCAGTATTGGATTACACCATCAGTAGTGTTTAATCCTGTTAAGACACTTTTTGTGTTTTAAAATGATAGAAGAGGAATAATATTGTCTCACTGGGATGGTGTTCAGTATGATAACAGCACATTTGCTGTTTCAGTGTGTTTCTAGTTGAACTCTATAAATGATTATAGTTATTTTAATTCTTTCCAAACAACCTCCAGTATATGTTAAAGAGCTGAAAAAAGTGCACAGGCTATTGGGGCATTCGTTGCTAACCACAGAGAGCTTATTTGTCATAGTGTAAAAGGAATAGTTAACTATTTCAGGAAGTCATCTTGCTTACTTCCTTGCCTAGAGTTACATGAGAAGATTGATGCCACTCTCACATCTGTGTGGTAAATATGAAGCTGCAGTCAGCAGCGGGTTAGCTTATCTTATCTTATCTTAGCCTTTGTCTCAAGGTACCAAACCCACCTACTAGCACCTCTAAAGCTCACTTATAATTATGACATGAAATCTTGTTTGTTTAATTCATACAAAATCTGAAATGTAAAGACAAAAGGTTGTGGTAACAAGACTCCAGAAAGTCATACAGCCATGCTAGCTCTGTTTCATGTAAGCTACCTGGCTGTTAGCGGTAACTTCTATGTACCATTCAGAAATCAGCTAAAAGGGGAGTAAGTCTATTTCTCAAATTGTTGAACTACTTCTTTAAAAGCACAATATGTCTGTCTGCTTGTGCCTGAATGAGGATGTGCCTACTCTTTGGAAATTGCCCATAATCTTTTTTATTAAGCTGAATGTCCCAGCTGCCTCCATTGCTCAGAATAAACATGCACAGGCATGATAAATGGCATTAATTTATAATGTGAGCATATTTACACTTAACATGCATAACTGCATGCACTAAAACAATTAGTTGCATGACTGCTGGGTGCTAAGCTTGTTTTGTGTAATATAAGATGACTGAGCACATATGGAAAGTTTTATAATTGGGAAATTGATGTAATGTTTGTCACTATCTAAGCAGCAATACTGGCCTCTTCACCTGTAGTTGATGAGGCAGAAAACAGCATCACCCATTTATTTTCCCTGCAACATTTTGGGGAATTAATAATTCAGCTTCTCTTACCTTTGGTCTGCATCCTTCCTTTGTGTTATTACTGCAGATTGAGCAGTTGCAGTGTGTCTGCTCTGAGACAATTACACTGATCATGTTCAGTGAAACACCACCACGTTGACTGTGGACATTTAAGTGTTCATGGAAACTGGGGTCACATAAACAAACAACCAGATATTGTTTCCAGATGAAGTGCAACATGTCACTGCTGAGAGCCGTTCCTTTTCTTCCCCAGTACTCTCTGATTTTTTTAGAGTCAGGTGTACAGCATGTGTGTGACATTTTCTTATTAGTTATATCTGTACAAAGGAAGATGTCTGGTTGTGAGTCACAAGTGCTTTGACGTCCACATTTTCACATCAAAGCCTTTCTAAATGGATTTTCCATGCACTTTATTTTTTAGTTTTGCCCTGTCAGTTCTACCATTCCTGTTGATGAAAACAGGACCAATTATTTTTAGTGTTCCTGCAGAATACAATGAGTGGGGATGTCTGGTCTCAGGAAATTGCTCCCACATCCCAGTATCAGACGGTTCCCATACCCGTTTTCAGACAATGAAATTGAAATACATGCTGATATTAAACATCTACTGATGGCAAAATAAGAACAAGATAAAACGCTTTCCCCATTACACTAGTGTAAGTCACAGAAGGAAGTATGACTTAAGAGGCTTTAGGAGTTTTTTTTCCATGTACGTAGTGTTTGTATACAAGTGTGTTTCTGCCTCTACAGCAGGGGCCAAGTGGTTCTGTCCTGCCCACCCCTGCACTCTATGAGGCAGTGTTTTGGACCAGGGCCCAAGACCAAGCCTGAGGCACGCTGCTCTGCTCCAGCCTCTCCAGATCGCTGACTCTCACTGACATTACATCAGCTGGGGAGACATAGTAGACTCTGTGTGAGTGTGTGCACTGGAGTGTAGATGCTCCATTCAGCTCATTGCTTTGAAGCAAAGTGGTCTGTAGATCATCTCTTGTACTTGTTTTAAAAGCCGTGAGGTAGAAGTAGAACTCAGACATCGGGGAAAAGGCAAAGAAATGGCTCTGAACATTATACGTGGAGTGGAAGACCTAGTGGCATCGGGCAGCCAGCTCATCTGGAGCCTGGCACATCAGACCCTAAGGAGGTGGTACAATGGTGGGCTGATGCCATGCAGACGCTTCCTAGAAGCCAGGTTCAGGATTGGAAAATGCTACCAGGTATGACGGCTTCTTGGGCAATAGTAGCATAAGACGAAAGAAGGGTTTATAGCATGTTTTATTGATTGCTTTATCGACAATGTGATTAATTGCTGAGTGTCAGTTAGATTTTTTTTTTATTGAATTTTTATGTCTTGGTTTTCCTATTATTGAGTCTGTACCTTTTCTCATCTGGCTCATTATTGTATGTATGTGTTTATTTCTGTGAATGTGAGGCAGCCTCTTGGTGAGTCACAAAGCCTGATCTTATTTTATTTATTTTCAACAAGGGTCTCTTGTAGCACATACGGCAGTAATTAAAAGCAGCATGACCAGCCATTTGATCTCACTGCTGGCTAATAAGAAGAAAGTTTGTCTTTGAAATGCATTGTTGTTGGAACACCTGAATGCTGCCTGTGCAAACACACGCGAGTCATAGCTCCTCTGGGGAAACTTGAAAGTGTTCAGGTCCCTCTTTTTTCCCAGCATACTGCCAGTGGTGGAAAGTAATTAAGTGCATTTACTCAGGTACACTATTAAGTACAATTCTGAGGTTTCTGTACTTTACCTGAGTATTTTCATTTTCTGCTGTTTCATACTTTGACTTCATTATGTTTCAGAGGCAGAACTTGAAGTATATTTTAGATGCCAATACTTCTGTACTTAAGTAACATTTTGAATGCAGGACTTTTACTTGTAACAGTGTAATTTTACACTGGTGTGTTGTTACTTATACTTAAGTAAACAATCTGAGTACTTCTTCCACCACTGCATACTACCAAGAGAAATTGTATTTTGAGTCAGATGGTGTTTCATACTTAGTGCATCTGGAGTGTGCCATGAGTAAAGTCATCTAGTTTCAGTTTCATTTAGAATGTATTCATCATAATGAGGGGTTTTTTCACTTATGCCATGCCAACTTTCCCTGTTTGACATGATTTAAAAGCATGTAGAACACCAGACCCTTATAAAACAGTCTTCTGAGATTTTGTTTTCTCTTTAAAATACTTCTCAGAAAAACACAAAGATTAGATCGCTTTAATGTTTAATTAAGCAAAATACCCAAATGCCCTTTGTCCCCCTTCCAAATCATACCATTATACCACACTTTAAAATATTAAATGAGAGGTAAAATCTTTCTTTCAAACTTTTTACTGAAGTTAAAGTGCTGATGTATTAGCAACAAAATATACAAGGTGAGATTTTTTATATCTTGTACTTAAATACAAGATTTGAGTAAATATAATGAGTTACTTTTCACCACTAGGTATCAAATTACAACTCAGTCCAACTTGTTGTAGAGTAAATGGATCTGCCCCCGAGAGCCACAACAATTCATGAAAGGGATATTGATTATTTTTCCTATCAAGTCAGTCAATTAGACATTTTCTTCATTGAATTTACAGTAGTTCTTTATTTTTCCAGTTTTTGTTATAGCAGAGATTCTCGTCTCTTCTGGTGCATCAAGATATAGAGCTTAAAAAAGTTCCCGCTGTGCAGCTCACATCATACTTGGACACAGCAGCAGGAGTGGGGATTTTGAAATCTGGAGCTTCAGAACAAAAGTTAGTGTAATACCAAGTTAGCGTGACTGCAAATGGAATCCTTTGTTGAGAAGTCCAGTCCTGCCCACAGAGCTGTAAATCTCAGTGAAGTTTAGGGCGTTGAACAACCACAAAGTGGAAAAGTAGCTTGAACAGTCCAAAAGTAAAATGACAGCTCCGCTGTGGTGCCGAGAACAATATGTCCTGGTAGACTGAAGTTTAACGTCACACCAGAAGTTTCTTTTCCTTTGGTCACCCTGTGGTCATGCTGGACATCAGGACCCTCCGTTTCCACCACAGAGGCCAAGCATTTGGCTGCCACATGTTTTTAACTGAAGTCACAAAAAGACGTCCTGGACACGTTACTGGGTAGCAAACAGCATTAAGTCAACATGAACACATGCACTTGGCAGTAAGGTTCAGACATGTGTTACTGTGATCCAGCTGTATTAAAATACTTCTCTTACTACTGTTAACTAAACATTGTAGGTTCACTGAATGGTGGGCATGAAAAGCAACCTTCTTACAGCATGAAGGCGGCTTTTCACCGGACTCATTTCCCAACCACTTAACGCTCATCTTTAATACACTAAAGACTGTTTCATAAGTTCATGTGATAACAGAAATTGTCAAGTTATTCTGAAGGATTAAGTTTTTATGTTCTTTTGCTTTTGGCAGGTTTTCATACTCCTGGGTAGAAAAAAAAGAGAGGAAATGCTATAAGTTTGAAAAAATCTTGACATATAGCAAAGAAGTGTTTAGGTGCTGTGGGTGTTTTTTACATACAGTATGTGCTAAGCTCACTGTTTTTATCTAACTCTCAGTGAAAAGCAAAAGAGTGTATTTCCAAAATGTCAAACTATTCCTGCAACTTGAACATTTTGCCAACAGTGCACCATAAATATTCTGTTTTAATTAATTAACATTACTTTTAATTGCCTGCATTATACTTATGACGACTACTGGAGAACTGGCAATAGCAGCCCAGTAGATAGTGTGTAAACACAGTGCCATCTAAAATTATACAAAGGGGTTAAAAATGTATTAAAATATAACAATCTGAAACTGAATGTGGCAATGTCTTAACAAACTAAAGTATGACTTCACTGTTGTTCATCAACACATAATAACATGTCTGCCTGGAAAGGCAGTTCTGCTCACAGCAGCAGAATGAAGCCTAAAACTATTCATTTTAAACAATAGAGTGGGAATTCAATTAAACTATGCAGTGGGACTTCATTGTCTTTGAGTTCTTACAGTAGAGGATAATGTGGGTTGTTGACATTTCAGGGATTTTCATTAAACCACAGTTGATGCAGAGTAAGATATGCAGTTGAGAAAGACAGTAGTGTGTGGGGGATCCTAAAGAACCTGAAATGTGGCTGAAATAGCTCACTTTTTACACAAAATGAGAATGATGATCTTGCAGTGACTGATATTTTGGAGTTTGCATCCCATATGGACACTTGCCTATTGGCTTCTTACCTATTCATTCAGCACAAAGACAACATCATATTGCGGTGGGTTTCTGTTCAACTGGTAAAAGAGGAACATTTTATCCCAGGGCTAAATAATGAACACATGACTCTGAGTAGAGAGGCAAAGGCAGAGGTAGTGACAGTGTCTTTTGACTCTTGTAGTAGCTGTTCTCATATGCCATATTGTCTGTTTTTTTTAATTAGATGACAGAAGGTCGTCTGTGCCAGATTCAGCTCCTCGATAGCAGGAACCTGGAGCTGTTGGTTCAGGTAGTTGATCCACTTTATCTCTTTAATTGTTTTTTTCTCATTGAGATGAGCTGTTGACCAGTAATGGAATTCACTTGTATATAATCTTTTTTCTTCCTTCTACAATGTTTCAGTGTTTCAAGCACATCACATTTAGTTACTTACAAATAGTCAGTCTAAACTGACCTCCTGTGCTTTAATCTAAACTTACCAGCCCAAGCTGTTGTCCCGTGAGCTGTTAGACTTGGTGGCCTCACATTTTAACCTGAAAGAGAAAGAATACTTTGGATTGTGCTTCACAGATGACACGTAAGTACATTTCCTAATAGGAGACATTTTAAAGACAAAAATGTTCAATATCCAATCTATGTCTACAAAAAAAAGAGAGCGATATTAACATAGCAGTATTTCAGCATATGATTTGTTCTTTATTTTTGACTCAGTGGCCAGAATAACTGGCTCCAGCTGGATCGTAAAGTTCTTGATCATGACTTTTCCAAGACTTTGGGGCCTTTGGAACTCAAGTTTCTTGTGAGGTGAGTGCTCTCGCTGCAGAGTTGCCAGTGTGAAATACTGGGGTGCTTCCTTAGACACATCTGGCTACCTGAAAATCTCAGTGTTTTATATATATGAGACTGAGTTGTGAATAATAGAGTTCTGTTTTGATGCAAGATATTGGCCGAGGCTTGTCTTAACCAGTAGATGGCAGTAAGGGAATGCAGTTTAAATTCTGCTGTGTGACTGCTAGGCAATTAATAAACTGAACATGATGAAGTCTATGAATCATGCAGAAACAATGGCAAAATACTGTGATGTTCTATTTTAAGTTAACCTTGCTGACCAAATTAAACTCTTCACAGGTTTTATATTGAGAAGCTCACCTTCTTGAGAGAGAACAAAACAGTGGAGCTGTTCTTCCTGAATGCTAAGTCTTTAGTGTTTAATGTAAGTATTTTAATCTATTGATTTTATAAAAATGTTTCATATATTTCAAATTTCCGTATGTATCCTGTAGTCAAAATGGCGTGTCCTTAATTCCAGATCACTGTTCAGCTAGCTACAAGTACATATTTTTTGCACTTAGCTACACGATTATTACACATGATTTACTAAAGCACATTTTAAATGTCCATTGTTTAAATGGCATAAATGTCATTTCTTATAGGCAACCCTAGGGTTTTTATATTTGTGACTTCATATGCATGTTTCCTCCTGTCTTATTTGTTTATGCTGCATGTTCTACATGCAAAGCAAAGCAAAAGAAAAGTAACATTTATTTATATAGCACCTTTCTAAACCCAAGTTACAGACAAAATAAAACAAAAAAGAAGATAAACGAGAGTAACAAACACAAACAAAGAACAGTATAAAAACAAATAAAACAGAAAAACATCACATAAACGTCACATTAATAAAATACACTGGTAAACAAATACCTTAGAAGGTACCAGTACTAAACGGCTGCCTGAATATATACATTTTAAGAAGAGACCTAAAACAGCTAGACTGGGTGCAGACTTAATGTCTGGAGGTAGGCTGCTCCACAGTCTTGAAGCTACTACTGCAAAAGCTCGATCCCCACTATGTTTTAATCTAGACCTGAGTATATCTAGGAGCAGCTAATTAGATCTTCCAGGAGTATGGGTGTGAAGGAGCTCAGGGATATACAAAGGAACTAAACCATGCAGTACTATAAGAACAAATAATAAGAGCTTGAAAATATTCCTGGAACAAACAGGGAGCCAGTGGAGCAATGCCAAAACAGAGGTTATATGCTCAACAGACTAGTAGCTGCATTTTGGACCAACTGAAGATGGAACAGGGATGCTTGGGAGATTCCAACATACAGAGCATTATAATAGTTGAGTCTAGAACTAATGAAGGCATGGATTTCCTTTTCAAAATCACTGGATGAAAAAAAATCCCTAACATTTGCTAACAATCTTGTTTGAAACAAGCCAGCTTTGACCACTAAGTTGACCTGTTTATCCAACTTATATCAATTATATAGTTTATGCTCTTTATTTAGGTAGCTAAGGTTTCTCTTGTAGGATTATGGCTCTTGTTACCATTGCTAACTCTGAGAGACGAGACAGTCCAAGTAACTTCAAAACAGTGCTGATTTATTCAAAGGATCACAGGTAAAATTAACATTACACGCTCAGGTATTTTGCACCTCCAAACTGCTCGCAGGCAGATGAAAGATGAAAGACCCTGAGCCCACCAGGCCTATACATTATATCCCCTCGGTTGGGCTAGCCCCATACTACACAGAAACGTCAACCAAGACGTCTCTGTTGCCAGCTTTGCAGCTGGCCATAGCAGTAGTCAAAACATGAAGCAAATCAATGTGCATGTGTGTGTGTCTGTTGATTAAGTGGTGTGTAACTAAAAACATTCTCACAGACCTCTAGTACATGTCGTGACTTAAACATAAGAACATATTATAGCTAAGGCTACAGTTATACACGTCATAATAATAATATTAAACACCCTGTCTGCTGACAGTCATCAACTGTTCTCTCTAGTTATCCTTGACCAGATGTACCCTGTAGAAACTCATAAGCAGGCCTAAGCATTTAACAGTCTAACTAGACATCCTATCTCCACTAAACATTTCTAATACATAAAGTATCTATCCAATATCTATCTGACTAAAAATACCTAACACTCTCTAATCCCACTTAAACATGAACTTTTTTTAAAAACTGCAAGATTCCACACTGCTACATGACACTGAGGTCTCAAGCTGTTATTCATAATGCTGCTTTCGCGTGCTGTTCGAAATTTCACAAGGCACCAAGGGTCAGGTCAGCCATGCTATACTTTATGATATTATTTAGCAATCATTCAAACAGAACATAAACCATGATATTATTTAGCAATCATTCAAACATAGACATAACACACCAACTAAAAGTCAAAACTTAATAAAAATTACAAGCACAGGTTATCATGTATATATATGATAAGGTCTTAATCCTAAAGTCTCAAATTACTATTTTGTCAACAACTGATATTTCGTTTCTCCCCCCAGTCTTTGGATGAAATAGTTAAACTCGTTGACTTCTTTAAAATCAACATGGACATTGAATTGTAGCAGAACCTATGTTTTATTTAAAACAAATTTAAAACATAAGTCAAAATGAAGTAATACAGCATAATAATATTTACATCTGTTAATATTATTTATATCTTGGCGATCATATATGTACCTATATGTATGCCATACTTGGCGCAAAATAAAAATACACATAATATGCTTTACTGTAGTGGTGAGAGCGTAGCAGCATACAAGGATAGGAACAGTACGAGGAGCACTTGAATGCAACATGCGATCAAACGTTGCAGTGCAGTTTTTTTCGCGGGGAGAGAACGCTGGTCTCCATGGGAGACTGAGACTGTTGAACCTGCTTTCGGACCATACCACTTTACCGAGAGCACTGTAGCCTCAGGCAGGACCTTCAGCTAGGCTTCCTATGTACGGGTGTGTTTTATTATTTTTTAGAAGAAAAATGTCAGGATAAATTAGTTGCTAAGATAGTATTAAGTATACTTCTCCGACAGTTTGAAACATCACATTGTCCCTGCAGCAGTGGTTCAGTCGGTAACAGTGGGACAGAGGTACGGGACGAAAGGATTTTTTTTATGTCAAGTGTTTCGGACAGGCTGCTGAATTTGCTAATTTACATCTTTTTTTCATAACAGGAGACCATTGAAGTGGAGAGCGCAAATGTTTTTAAGTTAGCCGCTTTCGCATTGCAGGTAAGAAAGTTTGTCGCGTACTTTCTACACTGAAATTGTGTCACTCACCCTCAATAGGAATGAACACAGTCGAGGCACGCAGTATTTGAAAACTCTTGTCTCATGAGGTAACTTAGTTTTGGTCTGGGCAACTCTTAAAGAAATTGGCCCTTTCATATGAATATTGTCCTCAAAATGCACTTGTGCCTCGAAGAACTGTTAACGTTAGTCTTGAAAAATTAAGATGGAGTCCAGTTAAACCTGTTAAACAGTATAACGTTATCGCTGCGCATATTCTGCAGGTACTGTAAGCTTAGCACACAGAATAATTTAGCTGTTTCTCATAATGCTTTTACTAACTGCATAATTTCCCCCTTTTCAGGAGGCCAAAGGAGATTACAGCAGGTAAGAAAAAGTTAAAATTATTACAACATAGAAGCCTTTAATGAAGTAAATGTGGGAAGGTCCAATGTTTCTCAAACGCTCTGTGTCATATCAAGTTGATTTTTCATATAAAACGTCTTGATATGGGATAAAAAGACAGTGTGATTTTATTAGATGACCAAGTTCATTTACAGATGCAATGGTTTCTCAGTTCAATTTCTTGATATTTTTATTTTATTGACATACACAATAATCCATAAACCTTTTCATGAACTAGAATCTGCAGTTAAATGCAAATTTTGCACAGTGTAGTTTATGTTTGTTGCTGTTACTATGACAAGGAAGCAGGGTTTAGTTTGCCAAGTTCCTTGGTCATTGCCAAGTGTATAGATAATGACTTTGTATATAGCCAGTTAATGTTCAGCTTGACTGACTCAGATTTGAATTTGTGCTGGGCTTGCCTCAGTTAGTAATGACCTTGATGTTGCTCTTGTGACATTGGACTGAGCCCCTGTTGGCCTGTTGCCATCCACATGGTGCAAATGTAGCTTTTAAAATCAGAGCACTTGTGTTTTTTGTCACACTTTTGCCTGTGAAGGCAGATACAAATAAACGCAGCCTATGTGACATTTAAATGGACAAATACACAGATGTGTATGTGATTTGATCAGTGACACTGGTGTGAAACTTGACACAGCCTCCACTGTTCACCAGTGGGCCTTGCCTTCAGAGGCTTGACCTGCTGATAAGGTAGGTTGTTTTTTTTTTTGGCCAGCTGTATGCGCTGCCATTTGTTAACCACTGCTCTGTATAGGTGAGTGACCGAGCAGACTGAAGCAACAGAACCTGTGTTTGCTCTTTGCTTTGCCTCTAAAGGCCTCTGTTCATTATGGGAACACAGAGATTTGTGCTCTCTAAGGAATTACGTGTGTACGGTTTGAATGATGGCAATATCAAAAAAATTATCTTTTTTTTTCTCTTGCAAAAAAGAAAAAAAATTGCTGCATCTGTCTGTGCTCATTAACTGCCCCGTTACTTACAACCATCTGACAAATGTTATTATTTATCGCAGCTTTAGTACAGATTTATGTCTCAGTGTTTTGATTTAAAACTGCATTACCCTGAAGTGTACAGTTTGAACTTTTAGTTCATGTGGGTGTGGGGATGGGCTGTACTTTGTCCTGACTCTGAAAGCACAATAAAAGACAACCTGCCAACAAATCTAATAGAATCAGTGAGGATGGGAGTGTGTCCAAATCAAGCTGTCTTTTTTGTTATTTCAATAGCTATCACTTTCTCTCTGCTCTTTTGGATTACAATTTTTAGATGTTTAGTTTTTAATATCACTTGACAACATTTATAGTAATATAATGGGCTTCTTTCTTTTGGAGGATTGTGTAGAAAATGGTGAAATCAGGTTGTTTTCCTCAAACCTCTCTGTCTGGAACATGACACTCCCTTTTTATACTATCATTGTACTGGGACATTCCCCACTGTCCTGTTGCACATTCCTGTCAGTGATGTGCTTAATTTCTACTTTTTTAGAGAACAGGCCTAGCAAATCCTCTCATAAAGCACATGTTATAAAGGTGGCTCCTCTTCACTATATCAGCAAAGGGCACTTAGATTAGCTGTGGAGTTTGGGACACCTCCTCCTCTGCCAGTCTTAAGAGGGATAAGCCAGGTCTACTGTCCATAGGTAGTCAATTTGGCATCTGAAGGAGTCACTGTAGTCCTATTACTGCAGTGGAGATGGCTAGCCCCCTGCTGTGCATTGAATTAATGCACTGTCGGGTTCCATATAGTGTTTGTGGTGTAGGCTATCCCATTTCCTTTTACTGTGTTAATATTGTATTGGATCTTACATTGCATCTTGTTCTTTACCATACTGTTTCACACATTATTGCTGTTACTCTGCGCACCTGTGGGTATAATCCACAAGTTACAACTGTTCTCTGGGTATCATGAAAGGGATTGTTGAAAATTACTGTAGGAAATTACTGCATTGATTGATGTCTTTAATTTGTTTTTAGAGTATCAGATTTTTTTCTTGTATAGTTGTAATTGCCTTCTAAAGTGGACTTCAGACATTTGTCTGGGCCTCTATATATTGACAGTCAGTAGTTTAAAATTTATTTTGATTTACAAAATGTTAGTGGTGTTCTAATTGTTCCCACATGAACCAGTATCACACCTAGACAGTTTGAGTTTTCAGTTCTATTTGAAGGTGTAGCCTGTGGTTAGTGGTTCATTCACAGCAGCAGGCTCTCTCATTGTGCTCTCTCCACAGTCACCATGTCTCACCCTGTGGAATAGCTGACACATGAGTATTCTGTCTCCCACACTGGATAGGCTGCGCTGGGCAGGGCTGGGCCAGATGCAGGAATTGCCCCCGTGCTGCAAGCTGTAGGGAGATAACAGACATACTAATGAATTCCAGATTGCTGACAGGGCAGCATGGCTGTGGAGTAGCTCACCCCCACAACACCAGGCCCCAGCTCCTCATAAAATGTATGCCATCAAACAAGTGAAGTGCCATGGCAGCAAAACCCAGTCATCCTAGGAGAGGTGGCTACAGGGAAGAGTGATTCAAGGCCTCTGCCCTTTCAGCAGCTCACCCTTGTTTGTGTTTAGTAAGCTGGTTCCCATAATGAGATCATTATGATTTTATCCCACCATTTCGCCAGCTGCCAAATTCCATTAGAGTTAAATTGACATTCAACTTAAGATCAAATGGCTTCTGGCCTAAAATCATCCACTACTTTATTCTGTTATTTCAAGTTTATTGTTAAGACAAAGACATAACAGGTGCAATAGTTATGGATGTTAAAGTTGTTTAAATTGAATATGGTCTGACCTGCACATTCAGATTCTCTCTGAGAGGCCACCAACAGTTTTGTAATAGCACTGTGGCTCGTACAGTGCTTTTCAACATAGGCAGAGGCTGCCAAGTGTTATTGAATGGCTTTTGTTCAGCTCTCCAGTGGACTGCCTCACCAAACCAGAGCTTTTTTTGTCCTGCAGAAACTGTAGACCCAGCGCTCCCTCCTACACAATGTCGGAGTGGCTCATAGTTCATTGTCATACACCTCGACAGCAACAAACACCACAATTTGTCTGTACAAATAATATGGCCATTTTTACAGTACTGGAAGCCTCTGCAGAACATTTTTTGTTTGTGGGTGAGAGCAACTGTATCTGTTGTAACTGTCATGGTGTGGACATTGGCTTAGTTGACCTACAGTACATGCACATAACTGAGAACCTGCGTCAAATGGTTTAGATATTTTTGAAAAGACTTCTTGCCAAGCCCCTCAAAGATTCCCTTGGACTTAAAAGCCCTGCATGTGCTTTTAAAAATTAAGTCTGGCAAGACATGAGTGAACTCTATTCTTGGCAAGCACTACTACTCTATAGATAAGAAGGATGAAAACAATATCCCGATGCTGCGCCTTTTTTAAAGGTTTGCAAAAATGAATTATTGCAGTCATGCCTTAAGATAGAAATTCAAACCACACTGTGAAAATACAAACATGTGGAGAAATGTTCTCTGCACATTTTTAGCCTTTTAAGATTCTTGTGGAAACATTTACCTTTACTTTCTGTATTGGCAACATGCTGGTGTGGGACATTCATTTTAAGGTTATAACTAGCGATGGGCGATTGGACAGTGCCATTGCCCATCACAGAGTGCTGATAGGCATCACAACAAACAGCCAGCATCGTGGTTTAAATCCCTACATTTAGCAGCGACCACACCCCAACTCCCCAACCCTGCCACTGGTATCTTCATCCACTGTGATGTTTCACTGTAAACATCATCATCTGCCAATTTAACAGATATTCACCCATCCCCAGTTATAACAGGATACTGTAGATTTCTGAGCACATAGATTCTTATGTATAGGAGAGATAGTAATCAGAACATAATATGTGTGTCATTAATCCGCACTGCAGTTTTGGTGCCTTGCTGTGTCTCTCATAGAAGCAGAGAAGAGTAACTGTATTCCTCATTCAGAACAGATCTAGGAAGGACTCTCTTTTTTGTCAGTGAATATATTTGCTGTTCTTACAGTTTTTGTGTGTGTGTGTGTGTGTGTGTGTGTGTGTATATATGTATATATATGTACTGCCAGATCAGAACTAAAGGAGCTCCCAGTTCTGCCCACCAGAGTTTTAAGAGAGCACCCATCTCTCAATTACTGGTAAGCTATCTGAACTCTTAATGTCTGTGAAAACCAGAAATTACACGAGGGTGAGTTGTGGTGGTGTCAGTATTAGGCAATCACACACAGCCCTATACAAACTTGCAGTTCATCCTATACCACAGCCCTTCCTCCATGTTATATGTTTAAAATTCAGCTGTCACATCTCTGGTCAGTAACACCTGGTTGTATGCAGCAGCAGTATCCTTAGAAGATCAGTTTTGGGCAGGAAAGTGCATACAGACCTGCTCTGTACTTGGCAGACTGTTTTGCCTCTGATGGGGTGACTAATTAGTGCCTGGGTTGTATTAATTACATTTCCCCATTATTCCTGAGTGAGCACAGGGAGGTACTGACAGCCATTAGCTGTCTGAAGGACTACTGTCTGTATCTTTAATCCACATTGCTGATTTTGCTCATCTGCCTGCCCCTCCTTTGCTGGTTTAATGGCCACCCGAGGTTGCTGCAGCCTGTGAAGCATGTACATTTTTAATATCCAAATTAGAATTATAGTTGTACGATGCACGTCTGTCTTGCTACCTGTTAAGCTGCAGTGAGTTTGCAGTCTTGCAGTGCTATTAAAATTGATGATTATAGTGAGAAATAAATGAGCTGCATTTGAAGGAGTAGTAGATGAGAGCCATCAGCTGGCCAGAATGTATTTTCTGCATGATCAGACAGAATGTGTGTGTCAAAGAGAGGGCTCTCTCACAACAGTCCTTCTGTGGATGGAATGCATAACACTTTATGGATTATTCATTAAATGTTTTATCTATCCATTTGCAGTGAGGACAAAGTGATTGAACATTACAAGAAACTACAGGGACTGACCAGAGGACAAGCCATTGTACAGTAAGTTATGAAAAAATGCAGTATCCTAATGGTTTTCTAAATGAGTTTTCAAATTGAACTGGTCCTTATGCACTACTGCCATTTTTTCCATTGTTTTTCTACATGGGATCTTCCTCTTGAATGTCATGTGTCTGCACTGTGCTGGCTGTTGTTATTAGAGGTGGCTGTCATCATGCCAGAATGTGTCATTAATTAGAGGAAGTGCTCTTAGAGTAGGCAACTGGCCAGACTAGGGAGGATGTCACTTCTCCACTATGTTTTTCACAAGTCTGTATCTCAGAGCAACCATGGGTCATGTATACAGTAGATGATTTGTGCCCTTGAAATGATCAGTGGACTGGAGTTGCAGTGGTATACTGGTTTCACAGTTTATCATTGTATGAAATTGATGGTTATCATACCATGGACATTTGCTTATTACCTGTATTAAAAAAAAACAAAAAAAACAATGCATGAGCACCTTTCTTCCTTGACTGCCTGTCAGACTCCACAACGGGTGCCACATGCACATGCTGTGGACAAATAGCAGAGAGAAGGAGGCTGAAATTGCCCAACTCCATCCACCAAAAAAGAAATTTAAATCAGCAGCACAGGATTAATTTGAATATCCTAATAACCTCAGTTATAAAGTGCGCTACATGCGCTACAAACATTGTCTGTTTGTTCACTAAACTCTGATTTAAAGAAGAACTCTCACTGATCCTGATCTGACACCAGAAACACACAGTTTCCTGGCTCACATAAGTGTGTGTGTGTGTGTGTGTGTGTGTGTGTGTGTGTGTGTGTGTGTGTGAAGGTACAGACAGGTCTGGCTGAACTCTTGTGCACCTACAGTAAATTAACAACTATTCTGATAATTGTTTAGAGCTTTCTGACGGAATGTCTCACTACTGTCAGAGGTTTTACAAACCGGTCAGGCGATTAATGGAGAAAATAATCAGCAGGTTAATCCATAATGGAAATAATCAGTAGTTGCACTTGGATGCAAAATAGTTCATCAGAGCTCCACGTCAACCAACTACAACAGTCAAATCCTGCTTTTACATCAGTGCATGAGTGATAGGCTGTTAATGTAATAATATAATCTACTGTGTACTATAACATTTTTCTGCTTTGATTAGAATATTTTAAGTACATTTTTGTGTTAATACTTGCTTTTACTTAACATTATTAATGCAGAACTTTTTGTAACAAGCTTTTTCCTAACAGAGTAGGCTACTTTTATAGTCTACTTATGTAAAAGCAAAGGATGTGAATCCTTCCTCTACTACTGGTACTAACATGCTTTAATTATATAACATGTTATAGTTATATGCTGTTTTATTAAGTCATCTTTATAACTTCTTTGTTCTTTAGGGTCAATCTAGTGCTACAGTCCAGCTCAATCAACTGGCACAGTCACTTGCAATAAAAATGAAAAGCCCCTTTTTTCCATTCTCTCGAGGTTCGTTGTAGCTGATAATAATAGTAACTGTGTAATTATGTAATCCCGTGAAGCTGTGATATTTTCTGAGACAGTTATCATACTGTGAAAATTTCATACCGTTGCAACCCTATAGTGGACTTTCTCTTCCTCTGCCATGGCCCTGAAACAAATCGATCATCTTGCCACTGCAAATAACTGTGGCTTCTCAATGACTGTAGCTTAAATCCCACTCTGTCTGTTGTACAGCAGCCACTGGGTGACAGTAATGAAATCTAAGTGGCTGAATTCCTGTTAACCTGTTCCTCTTTCTCTGAAGGTATCTGTCCCTGGTGGAGTCCCTGCCAGCATATGGAGTCCATTATTACCCAGTGAAGGTAACAGCAGTGCCCTGTATTGTACAGTAGCTTAGTCTTTGAACAAGCTTCTGTCATCATGCTGTCTGTCTTTGTTCCTTTTTCTACATCTAATCTAACCCATAAATCTGCATTTATTAACTTCACTTATTTGTCATTTTGCTTGATGCTTGAATAATGAGATCCTTTTTAAAATTTGTGCTGCAGCTAAAGTAACGACACTTACTGTAATTAAATTCAGGACTCTTCTCTGCCTGCTTGGGTGGGATAAGAGAATGTGCAAACCAGCTTTGTCTAAAATTTAAACCTTAAGTAATTCAGAAAAGTGAAGAATCCAGTAAATCATTGCTAAGGAATTCCTCCTGCTTGCCTTGTTTTTATTCACATCCACTAAATTTCCCTACCAGACCATATTAAATCAAGGTGTCTGAGAAGATCAAACAGCAGCATTAATAAGACTCAGTCAGGGTTGCAGAGATTTGCAGGCCTTTAATGTATGTGATTTCTTTTTGTGTTGCTAATGCTGTGAGCCTAATGTGGCAATTGCTTTGATAACGGGCCTCTCTTTTTCAAACCCCCACCAATAAAGCTACCTCTAATGAATGATGGGGTGTGTGTCTGCTTTCATGCAGGACAAGCAGGGAATACCGTGGTGGCTGGGAGTCAGTTACAAAGGCATAGGCCAGTACGATTTGCAAGATAAGCTGAAACCAAGAAAGGTAGGTTGACCACTTTGTGTGTGTGTGTGTGTGTGTGTGTGTGTGTGTGTGAGAGAGAGAGAGAGAGAGTGACTGAGTGAAGTTTTTCCTTATTTATGTCAGTAAATAAGAACAAGGGATTTTATACACTGTACATTTTGTAAAAACCCTCTGGGTATAGGCTGTATAAATAAACCTGTCTAGGGTTCTTACAGAGGAACATCTACTACTCAAGTAAAAGTGGTTATTTTTAAAGCGATGCATTAGTAACCTTTGTGGAAGTATTTACTATTTAGCTTTACTGAAATACTTAATTTGCCAGATCAAAACTTAGCTTTCATTCCCATGCTTTTTACAAGCCGGTTAATGATCCATCCAAACTTGTAAGTGGCTATAACTGGACTCTGGTTCCCATGCCACTCAGGAGAAAGAGGAAGCACAGGTAGGGAAAATATTTTGGAGTATCAGTACAGTACAGTGCTGTGTGCTGTCAAGGCTGAACGTGTAAGGTTGTGCTCAAACTGAGTTTCAAAGGTATGAAAAAATGCAGACCTCTCCATTCATTTCTATGGGGGACTGCGTTCACCACAGCCAGCATTAGCACCGCAGAGGGCTCTGGCAAAATGTTTCAACCCCATGCGGTGAAATCGTTGGATCTGGTTCAACTTTTGCTGCAGCAGACGGTGACATCACCCAGCAAAGACGCTGCATTGACCAGTCACATACAGGTGACGGTCAGAACATGGAACAGGAAGAAAACGTTTACCTCATTAGTGTGAGCATTCACTGCTGAATTTGGGCCACAGTTAATGCAACATAACGACACTCCATGTGTTTTCATTAATACTAGATGTCAAATTGTGTTTTTTTTTATCTATCAGTGCAGACACATTGATGGCAGAAATTGGTGCTAGAGTAGGCTATGTTAGCAGCATGGTTAACCAAAACACAGTGGAAACTAATGGGTTGGAAACATGAAGGTAGCCACTCACATTGACTCACCATAAGGTGGCTATATCATACACATCTACAACACTTCCCCTGCGACCCCTCACCCCAGTACCAATGCAGCCCCTTGCATAAAAACAAAGCAGAGATTTTTATTGGACTCAGTCTAAGTGCCCACTAAGAGCAAAGAAAGTAAGGACCAGCATTAGCAGCAGGAAGGAATTGTTTTAGGGGTTCAGAATCATAAAATAGCTTAACTTTTAGAGGTTCAAAGTTTCACTAGCCTCATCATACCTGTTGTTATATGGCAGGAATGTATTGTTACACTGAATACTGAGGCATTAATGCACACAGCCACCGTGTCTCTCCACAGCCTTCCTAGTGGAAGATGTAATTGTGGTGCTCTGTGGGAAGAACTAGACTCTGGAACTGGCACTTTGCCAGGTGGGTGGAAGGATGTGTGTAATTTGGGGGACAGCATTGAGCATGTTTGGCTGCTGGGAGGGCTCATCATACCTAGACTCTGCCCTCCAACTCCTCCACACAAGCAGCGGACAAGGACAGTCACATGGGAACTTCACAACAGTTTCCTACTGTGGGAAGAATGCTAATGATACTTGATAATTACTTGATAATGATACAGATAATTGAAAGTGTGTGACTGTTTTGCTTATGTTTCGAAGGGAGTCCTGTATACAGTATCTGGTAAATATTGATAGTGCATCCTGCTTTAGTTCACACCCCTGGATTCAACTCAGACCATCCCTTCTTGTCCTCTGCCCTGCCTCTCTCAGCATGTTGTATTCATTACAGTAATATGTGTGCGTGTCAGAGAGTGAGTGACACAATTGATCAAACATTGCAAAATGATATATATGTAGAGGGGTGGGAGATGGATTTAGAGGTGGGAGGTCAATAGTTCGACAGTTGTTTTTAACAACCTATATATATTTTTTATTCTTTAAATTTGCAAAACCTCACTTTATCTTCTCTGCATATGTGCCAGTTTCATCACTCTGTGTTGAATAGCCTGAAACTCAAACACTTATTCTCCCTGCTGCCATGCCAAATGAAAAAAAACATCTAAATTTAACTGTATATAGGAGGAGGATTAGTTGATTTGAAAGAATTGTAAAGTGTTTTAGCAAAAATAAAGTTGAAAAATAAAAACTTAACTAATAAATCAAAATATGATAAAGTTCTTTCCATTCTCTTCCTGTTGTCAGGTTTTCACAACTTTATCTGTGTGTCATGTTGTGGAAACGTAGAGTGTTGCCAACCAGTCAGAGCTGGTATGTGACGTATTACATTGAAGGGTGGGGCAGATGCTTCTCTGTACAGGCATGTGAGTCAGAGCCTTTTACACACTTTCATCCATGTATGCATTTGTGGACTCGTGACCCTGGGGGTTCTTGAGTTGTGGGTGTGAACTTGATCGGAACAGCTCAATCCCATCTGAAACCACAGGTATTCCTGGCTCCTTTCCACCTGTTTGTAATGAGACCTTTGACGAAAACAAGGGAGATGTAAACATTGGAGATATGACGATACAGGCATTCTGTTAAACTAATGTGTTTGTTGGTTTTAAAAATTGTTACTTTTGTTTTCTCTATAGGAGTTTCATTGATGAATCACTTTTTCGCATGAATCCAGAGTACTTGCTTGTGTGCAGAGTCATTTCTTGGACAAGTTCCTCTTTAAGAGGACTACTTGTAGTCTTGTAGTTGTAGCATTTGAGGTGTGTTACATCCTTGACATATTTTGGAAATGGCTCCAGCAGTCACAGGAGAGCCCTCTATTAGTTTCATCTATGTGCTGGCACACAAGTGTGGAGTTTCTCTAATAGGAGGAATGATCCAGTGAATGCTTGTATTGCCTAGAACTTTATTGTTTCAATGTAAATGATGCTAAGTGATAACAACTAGGGGATGTGAATTGGTGTGGGGATCCTCACAATGAGATGAGGGTATTTGGATGCATCCTGCCAGCTGGTTTCCATTGTTCCTTAAGCACCATGCTCTTTGTTTCACTGGCACACTGATTATGTAATTGATAAGGAGTGCCATAATGGCTGAACAGCATGTGGAGTGCTCTACTTATATTTTGACTAGAAGCATGAAACAGTGACATGCTTTATGGTTTAGAAGTAGAAAATCAATGTTGAAAATCCACGCAAAGTGCACTATTTGAAAGAAGCTCTGGAGTGTCATGCTTCTAAGCTAGTATTAGTAAAATGGAGTTTTTTTGGGCCTGTTTAATGGCTGTGTGCTTCCTTTCCTCCACACGTAGCCAAAGATAGCCATTGGTATTAATGATTAGACCAGTAACAGATTCCCCGCGTTTGCCTGGTGGGCGAGGCGAGATGGTCATAGTGGATTCAGCTATTCAACAGTGCTTTGGGTGGCGTTTATAATATGAATAATACAAAAAACTTCCCAGACAGCTGTGGTGGTATTTAAAGTCTGTAGAGATTTGATGGCTTATCTGTCAGTGATGGAAGCAGAGCAGAGGTGAAATGTCTCAAACAAGGAAAAACCTGGCCGAGCAAATAGTTTTGTACAACCTGCTCATCTAGTTTGACTAAAAAGGAAGTGAGCTGTGTAGGGGAGAAAGAGTGGTGCAGAGGAGTACAAAACCTTGGAGGCAGTGTGAGGCATCTGTGATGTCAGAGGAGGGGGTGGTTAAAGGGACGTGGCCAGCTTAGCTGAAACTCTTGCAACACCTATCTGGCTCTCTGAGAACAGACAAGAGAGAGTATTGTTCGAGGAAGCTCTAGCTCTGTGGGAAACTCAGTCAAAGGATTCAGTACAAACCCAGGAGAATTCAGCAGTAATTTGATAAGCACAGAAATACCCATACCGGTAAGCCTTTGCATTGTATTAGCTGCTAACCTGTTTTAAATAGTCAATTTTTTCTAAAGTTTTAATTTCATTGTGTGCTTGTCTAAATTGCTTCCTTAGTGTTGTGTACCTTATTTTTGTGATAGCGACGCAAGCACTCTGTCACTGTGTGAGCCACATTGTTGTTGAGGAAGATATCTACTGTGCTATTTATTAGCTGCTTGGTAGAGTAAAAATGATGCCCAGAAAGTGTGTTGGTACTAGTTTCTGAGCTTTTACACTCGGTTCAGTTTCTCAGTCGAGGAACGAGATGTAAAATCTGCTCTTGTAGAGGGGAGAAATTTAGCTTCCTTCTAGGTTAGTATCAGGTAAACCAGTTTTTATAACAGTCCTCCTCCTACATTAATCTCAGCTCCGCTGTTGTCCAGCATCTTTTCTTTTTCTAAAATAAGAGCAGGGAAGCGCTGTTCACAGGCAAGTGGCTTCCAAGTAGGTTTGGAGAGCCCAGTGTCAATGGAGCAGATGTTTCATTCTGACAAAGAGAAGTCCTGCCTCTGATCTCTCCCACAGCAGAATGAAATGAGAAGCTGGCTGCTGTCTCGCACAGTTTCACTCCCTGCAGTTGCAGAAGCATTATAATTGCTCCTGCGTTAAGCCCAAACTTACACCTGACTGGCTGGCCCACTGGGTCCCATTCATGGCTTCAGCTGTTGTGTTGTTTCTGCTAATGTTGCAAGTTTAGCAAAAGATGTGCTAAAAGCTAAACCACTGTGGACAAAACAAAGCCAGTAGGTTTAATACTCGCTGCCCATCCTGTTGAGTTGTTTTTTGCTGATCCCCCTGTGTGTGAAGTATCTAGTGAATAAGGGTTTTACAGACCTTGTGTATCAAATGACTCTTCTGTTTGTGTACAGTAAGTCCACATTTCAGTCAGTAGTCCTTGTGTACTCAGCAGTGTGTAATGTCTCTCCACCCCTCCCTTCCCTGCTTTCTGCTAAACTCTCTCATTCTCTTTGCAGTTGTTTCAGTGGAAGCAGTTGGAGAATTTGTATTTCCGGGAGAAGAAATTTGCAGTGGAAGTGAACGACCCACACAGGTCAGCGAAGGCAAAACGCTTAATGTATCTGAACTGATCTTAATAGGTGCTTTCCCTGTTTTTTAAGTGTTCCCATTTTTAGCTGCTGCTCTCTCACAACTTGCATTCTTATCATACACCTTACACACTGTAAAGTGCATTTGCAGCTAGCGGCCCATTAAGGACACCATGTTGGTGAAACCTATCTGGTTAAATGTGTTTCTCTACTGTTCAAGGGCCACTTTATGATTCTGTGGTTGTTTTAAGACCTCTGTTTCTTGCAGAGGCTTTAATGTGGTACTTCAGACAAAGCTGCTATTAGATCCCACAAAATCTTTGATGTTGTTGCTTGTCTCCTCAGGATGATATTACAAAAAATCCCACAAGTTTAATTGAATAAAAATTTTGTAGGAATTCACTTCTAATCTTTTTAACTTAACAAAGACTTTGTCTATGGACCATCAGCTGTTGACTCTTTTATGTATGTTGCTATTGGAACAGTAATGAATGTTTGTTGTTTATCTTCTACAGGAGAACAGTGACCAAGCGAACATTCGGACAGACGGGCCAGGTTATACACACATGGTATGCCAGCCACTCTCTGATTAAAACCATCTGGGTAATGGCCATAAGTCAACACCAGTTCTACCTGGACAGGAAGGAAAGCAAAGTGAGTGTCTTATCTGTTTTTTTTTCTACTTGGCTCACCTTTCCTTCTTACTCAAGTCATTTTTACACTGAGATCCCGCGCTTCTGTGGATGTAGCTTTGTTTGCACATCAGGTATTTATTTCACTTCACTCAAACTTGGTTAAGGTATTTATTTCACTTCACTCAAACTTGATTAACATGGTTCTTGCTATGTGTGTCATGGGTCATAACTACAATCATCGCATTTGTGACATCAGGAAAGCTTTGACCTATAGGTTAGAGAGAAGCCAAGAAGAGTTCGAGGTAGAGTGGCGTGCAGACGCCAGTGATAGTGACATGCACATATTACATCATCAAAACGTAGCACCTGGTCCTGAACTACCAGCTCACCCTTTCCACACAGAGTGCATCTCCCCTTTGTTTCGCCTCTGGTACTACCTCCTAAGGCGGACCAGAGGCAGACTGAAAATGGCCCGCCATTCTGGCTTTGCGCCATACACAGAAAACAAAATGAAATAAAGGCACACCAGTTTCGGCTCAAAAGGTCAGTGTGTAAGGGGCTTCAGATTTGGTTATTAACAGTCTAATACTCCTAGACTCATGCTTGACCTTTATAGAGAGCTTGCATCATGTTGAGTAGCCATCAACGGATCAAGGTCAGTCCTGTGTGTAAAAGGGTCACTACTGGAAAAGCAAATTACTGGCTAATACAAAGTTTGTGTTCTTTACTGGTCAGTTTGTCAATAAATGTGACCCCGTTTGTGACTTTGTTTTGGGCTTAGGCCTGTGTGATACTGACAAAGAATGATATCTGGGTATTTGGGGGGATTTTGTTGATAATGATAAGCAGATGATATTTTGCAGCACTGGCTGAAGCCAGTAAATACACTGCTCAAAAAAATAAAGGGAACACAAAAATAAGACATTCAACTATGTTGTGTTCCCTTTATTTTTTTGAGCAGTATATTTGAAAAGAATCTGTTGGATTGCTATTCACACTGATCGAACTGATCATGTTTCCCACGTGTTTTTTAATATTCCCCTGGACTGTGGAGGCAAACATTCAGCATCCGAGTCTATAAACTAACATCAACTTTATCCTCTTTCAGAGCAATCCATGTACATCCATGCTATATGCAGCATGCTTACAGCTGTATTCTAACATTACCTTAGTTAGTCTTACTAGCTTGCTAATAACATATTAGAAGATTTGGATCTCCATGACTGACAGCGTTGTGTTAAAAAAACAAATACAGAGAGGAGGAACTGTTCACAGACAATCTGTCATCGCGCGTGTGTGTGTGAGAGAGAGAGAAATAGAGTGTCGCATGGAGGGACTAAGCGAATACATGTGCTACAGACAGCACTACATTGAAACAAGACTTGACCTATTTTAAATCAACATGTGGCAGTCAATCTTGATAATGTGGCAGCCCGCCACAAATAAGTCAATATATGGGAAACAGTCTTATTGTACTAGATTGCTCTTGTTAATAGCATATTAATTGTTGCTTACTATGGATATTAATGGAAACAACATTACATATACTGATTTACTTAAAACTGAAGAATTCAAGTACAATTCACAAACATTAAAATTAGCAAAATCATTCAGCAAAAGTAAAGTTTGCTCAGTGTGTTTTTGTGCTAGTACCTTGGCTGGTTTATTTCTGGTGTTGACAACTGACTTCTGAAGCTTTTCATATTTTGTGTGGTGGTTAGTTTGCATGCAGCTCATGAAACAAGCTGTCAAATTTGTCTTTAGTGGTTACCAATTTCCAAAATTGTTTGCCATTTTCTGAGCAACATTCATCTTTTCAAAGCCAAAATACCTCAGTGCGAGTGAGGATGATCCACATTATGCAGTTAAAGTAACAACATATTGCAAGGCTTTAGGTGTGTTTTTTCTCTTGGCACTGTATTCACTCATTTTTAACTTTGCTAATTCACTTTTAGGCAGATATGCTAGCTTTAACTTGTGGTGCAGTGGCATTGTAGGCTACATGCTGCGAGGCCTTTCAGTGTGCATGGGCAGAAGTCGATCCAACTAGGCTACATGACGCAGGGAATGTGTGGATTGTCATGGTGTGTTTTTGATGTTTTTGTAAATAGAGTACCATACTGGCAGCTGGCACATCATTAAAACAACAGTTAAGATATTATTGTAGATGATATATATTGTACACCCCTATTTGGGTGATAACATTTATTTTTATTTAACTGACTTCAGTATGAGCTATAGGTTTGACTTGTTTTCACCAGTAAAACTAGCTGTAAACTGAGTAGTCTTTAGAGAGATTAAAACTTACTGAGCTTGTCTTTCTTTTTCAGTTTGAATATGGATTGAAATTCTCTTTCAGTGGTTGTTGTGCAAGTGTCAGTGCCTGGTGTTCATCATGTAGTGACTTGTGTCCCATGCCCGTGACTTGTGTCAGTAGCTTAACAAAGAAATATGACAGACCTACTGGTTTAACGTATATTGGTTCTATACTGGTCAGCTTTATATTGAAATTCTTAAGTCCTTGGTTTAAAATAAATACTATTGTTATACTGTATGTTGGACCTGAAGTAACAGGGAGCAGGTTTTTGTTCTGATGGAAAGATTTTTATCACTATGTCAATATAGTATTCAGAATGATATAGTAGATGTAGTGCCTGCTTTTGTCTCTGGTTTAAGAGGAAACACACTCAGCTCACAGCAAACCACAGTGTGCCATATAAAATGTGAAGTGATTAGTTTGAGAGAGATACATGCATTTTATGACTGCAGCAGTAGAATGAATAGGCAGTGTGCTCACAGCTAGGTACAAGTGTTATAACTTATTAGAATGCCCTGAAGGTCTGCCTGTGCTCAGTGTTTGTGTTTATGATGCATATTTACTGAGCATTAATGCTATTATTAAGTATTAATGGTGTGTGATGGGCATTTTGTGGTAGAGATGCATGAACGTGTGGCTGCAGTCAAATGAGTTTATTTAGCCACTGTTTTCCTTAAAGGCAGATGGTGTGTGTGTGTGTGTGTGTGTTCATCCAGGAGTAGAACTCACATTGATTGATGAGAGAGCAGTGTGCTTGAACTACCAAGCATGCAAAATGGATCTGTCACTATCTCAGTGTGCTGTCATTAAAATGAAATACTCACAGTCCCTCCTTCACTTCTCTGTTCCTTCCTCCTGATCCCTGTTTCCTCCTCTTAACCATCTCTTTCCTCCTCCATAGTCAAAGATGACAACAACCAGGAGCTCAGGAGACATTGCCATGGATCTCACAGAGATCTGCACCCAGCAAATCAGTAGACTTTCCAGCATTGAGAGCAAAGATCAGCTTATCATGGCCAGCAATGGAAGTCTCATCTCAGCCGGTCAGCAGAGAGTTAATGGAATGTGTTCTATCCACATCAGATTGACGAGTAATGATTTATGGCTATAATTTGTAGTTAATCAGACGTATACTTATTCCAGGTTCTGCTGACTCTGAAGTCAGTGAGGAGCAGAAGAAAGAGAAGATTGCTGAGTTGAAAAAAAAGGAAAAGAACCTTAAGGACACACTGACACAGAAACTTGAGGAACTAAAAAAGATATGCCTGAGAGAAGCTGTGAGTGTCTCTCTCATTCTGATGTTTTACAGTGACATTTAAAGCATCCAAACTCTCAGTTGATTGCAAGTTGTTGTCAATTACAGGAGCTCACAGGCAGATTGCCAAAAGAGTATCCCCTGGCCACAGGTGAGAAGGCTCCTCGAGTGCAACGCCGTGTTGGGACAGCCTTCAAGCTGGATGACCTTTTTCCCTATGATGAGGTGATGTAACTTAGCATGTCACTCTGTGTTGAAACACTGTTCCTACGCCACTCTGTCTGTTTACCTGGAGATCATCTATACCAGTTGACTTTTAAAAAGGAGGACTGAGAATGGAACATGTTCTTTGAGGCTTACATTACAAAATGCTTTGTTATGAGTTACAGATAGTTCCTATCTACCAGTTAGCTAGGAAAATATGAACAAAATTCTAAATGTGAATAAGAATATGTCAGCAGATTTTAAATGAATGCTTTAGACAAATGCTATATTGTGTCCTATAATTTGGAGATGTCTGTTCTTTGATCAAAGGTTCCACAGTTGACAGGGTCTGTCTGTATTTTGGGGAAATTCCTCTTAATTGTCTGTGATACCCTACAGGACCCACATCTGAGGAATCTGGAGAGCAGGTTTGCCTTGCAGCAGAAGATTGTGGAAGCAGCCTTCAAGTTAGCCAGTGAGGGCGACCTCTGCAAGACGGTGAAGAAAAAGAGGAGAAACAACTTTTTGGATGCAAAGAGGAAGCTGGAGGAGATTGAGAAGGAGATCAACACTTACAGGATACGGAAAGGAAAGAAACCCACCCAGAGAGCTTCAGTGATCCTAGCAGGTACTCAGAAGACTTCACAAACAACAACTCATTTATTAATAAGCAGTAATTGAATGCTGTCACTTTGAAAATAAGCATGTCTAAGGGCCATTCTTTGTTCTGTTGTCAGATGATGTCAACCCTTCAGAACTCAGTTCTCTATCTGACAGCCTCACTCTGGATGATGGTGAGTGTCCAAGCATAATAATGCTCAGGGTGCATGTGTTTACTCCCTCCTTCCCCACTCCTGCCTTATAGATTAGTTTTATTCATGCTATTTCTTTTATCTGCCAGATGATGAGCTTGGTTCCCAGAGGCAGCGGTCCAGATCTATGCAGAATTCTCCTAGACCACACCATGCAGAAACTCTGGACATCCACTACAACAAAGACAGACAACTCTCTAACAGTGACATGCATGCAGATAGCAGGTATACAACTAGCACTGACACCAGTGGAGCATATTCTTATTTTAAATTTCCAGTGTGTGTGTCTGACCTGAGGCCCAACGCGTGGAGCTAGTCCCAACCTGTAGAGGGGATCCAGAGCTACATTCCTGCCAGTCACCTCCTCCCTCCTTCTCCTGCCTCTCCAACAATCTCTCTCTTATCAGCCCAAATGCACTAGCTTTAAAAATAGATGGAAGAGAACATGTCTCTGCCTGTGTAGCAGCAGACAACAACAGGAAAGTGGCTCTGGAAACTATGTTGAAAAGGCAGGGACTTTATGTCTGTTTACAAATGATATGAGTGATTTGCTGCCCTCACCCTCAGAGATTTAAGTTAATTTTAACCCGTCATAATGTTTGCTGTTGCATGAAAAGAAAGAGGAAACAAAGTTCTATTAAGTAACACTCATTCAGGAATAAGTGGTTACTAAATTGCTGAAATTAAGCAAACCCAAGGTGTTCATTTTTTTCTTTGTTGGTTTTGAGAGAGGAGAGGTGATAAACTCTGACCTAAAGATGCCCTGAAAACTCTGGGTATCATTCACCGACATCTTCCGAAGTGACTTCCTAAATTTGTTTCTAAGAAAGGTCCTAAGAAAAGTTTACGTCTAATTTATGAACATGTTCTTAAACCTCAGAATTGTTCACACCTGTGTTTTTATATTAATGAATCCCATGTGTTTGTAAGTTGAAAGCGCGTGCCAGTCGTTCCTAATTAACATGGGTTAACACCCTGGCAATGCCCATAAAAGGGCATGAGACTCCAGGGTTGTGTGCACACAGGAATCTCACACAGAAATGAAAAACAGAAGCTGTGAAAGCCAGGAACGCTACAACAAAAATATAAAGATGGTGGAGCAACGAACTCTAAAGGAGAACAGTGACTGAGCTGCCATATTTAGTGGATATAAAATAAAACAAAAGACACATGGGATGCTCTTAGTCGTTCAGTGAACACTGTATAAGGAGAAATAATTAAAAGGATGAATTAAAAAGATGGTTTGAGCTGAAATCTGAGGCAACACAACAAACACAGAAGAGAGACACTGACCGGTGGAAGAGGACAGGCTGGCCCAGAGGGATCTGAGCTGGACCAGCACATCAGGGCCGTACACGGCTCTCTGGGTGTGAAATCAGATGAGCAGACCTGGGTCCCTTTAACTGCCCTGAGTGTCAGATGTGGTGCTGGACAACCAAACACTTACACAGACAGCCTCAACACTGGCCACGTTATCTGGGAGGCACTTAAAGAAAGAAATTAGAAATAAAGATATGCACTTAAACGTGTTTGGTTTTTAAGTAATGTGTTTTCTATTTCTAAGCTACAAATAATCACACTGTAAAAGTTTAATTAATTTTAAAACCTTTAACAATGATTTGCTTGTTGTACTTTTAGTGTAGTGTTTATTCATTTTAAAAGGCCATAATGCTTTGTAAAATAATGGGAAAAATATTAAAGAAATACTAATAATGACAAAACTGTTATTGTAATGTAAATCCTATAATGTTATATAACTGCAGAATTGAAGGAAAGTAAATGCTCTCAAATGTGCTTAAGTGTGCTTCTGAGCGTGCGTAGACTCTGGTTCTTACCTAAGAACAAATGCCAGATAAGAAGACATTGGTTAATGCCATTATCTTTATTAAAACTTCACAAGTGAGTTTTATGAACAAATTTGTTCTTATGGACGGTTGGTGAATGTGACCCATTGTCCATATCTGTGTTGCAGATTAAATTACAGCCAAGTCCAGGAATCGCTCCACTACAGTCACCATGTTGCCTTATCAAGCCACAGCAGCCCATTTAAACCAGCTTCCAGACAGCCACGTGATGCCTGCAGCATGCCCCCCACCCCCCTCCTCCCCCGCAACGCATATAGCAGCACCCAGCTCAGGTAAGGCCTCAGAGATGGACTGTGTATTTCTTTGTATTTTGTTTTTGTCTCTCTCTCTCTTATTATATAATATTTGTTTTATCAACACCTCGTATGTCCTTTGGTGTATATTTGAGTCAAAACATAGCTATACATGTAAGTGTTTTCCAATTATAGGTCAGATGACGTGCCACAACATTTCCGCCAGCGTAGTGGGAGTCTGGAGTCGCAGTCTCAGTTCCTCACGGAGACCGAACCACCAGTGTCAACATTCACCTTCTCTCCGGCCAGACGCAGCAACAGCACTGAGATTCCTAGTGTGGAGTATAACATCCCTGGTAACCACACCCACAGACGCAGAACTCGCGGTTGCCGCAGAAAAGACGCGTATGCCAACACTGGGAGTATGCCCAACCTGGCTCAGCCAGACATCCGCTACCACCAGCATCAGGCCAGACCCACCACAACAGCCTACTACGTCACAGGCTATCCTATCAACACAGAACCAGAACCTTATTCCAATGGAACCTACATGTATGACAATGAGATGGAGGGACACTATAACGTCAACCCTTCTTACCACCCCACTCCAGCAGCTCATCACAGCCACAACACACGCAGTCACTATAATGATGAGATAGACGGGATGTCACAGAACCTGTACGCCACAATGCGGCCACCCAGGAACCGTCCACTCCACAGCAATGAACAGGCCAGCAAGAACTTCCAGAAGGCAGTAGTGGCAGAACACTTGATAGGCTGGTACCATCGCAATGCGGTACCCAAACAGTCCACATACAGCTATGATTACGATAGAGGCTCCCAGCAGAGCCTGGGCTATCAGACCATGCCTACACCCTACAGCCACAGCAACAGGAACATTGCCTACTCAACAGGTTAGCCCATCACAACATATATGCAGTAACAGTCTGCAGTGCATTTTGATTTTTACCTTAGTTTCACATGCACTTAAGTCAGGTTTGCTAATTTGTACAATTTGTTTTTCTCCAGTGTCCTCGGCACCCTCCACAGCACACTGGCACAGCCACACAAGTGGTGGTATGATGGAATATGACACGCCGTTACATGTGTCGCAGTCCTACTCCTACAGTACAGCCCCCTACAGCCACTCCGCCCACAGCAGGTGAGGAAAAAAGACTTGGCCTCAACCCAGCTCCTTATCCAATAAGCCACTCCCTGATCCTCCTTATCCCAAGAGAGAAGCACTGGTGTTTAATTACCTAGAATGGAGCTCTACAGACGATATAAGCTGCTGTTTGGTTTTGTTATCCCTTATGTAGACTGTCGACTAATGTGTAGCCAATATTGCCTTTTAAGTTCACCTTTATGAAACCAAAATCCACAAATATGCATCTATTTAACATGGCAGCCTCTAGTAAGATTATAGGATCTGTGTAGTCAGTTCTTCCTCAGAGCCTCCTTAACTGTCCACTGGGCCCTGCTTTCTTATAGATATGGTGCCTCCCAGCTTTCAAAGGGCTCCTGGTACAGCCCTGATGGCCGGAGGCGCCGAGCCTTTTCCCCTGCTAGTCCTTCCTCCTCTGCTTCCACCTCCACATCCTTGCTCTCCTCCTCCTTTCTCTTCTCTTCCCCCTCCCCTGGGTATTGGGTCAGACAGGTGGCCTCCAGCCCTGCACAGCCACAATCCTCCAGAGGGCACAGGCTCAATAAGGTGCCCTTTGCTAAAGGTAGCTCATAGTAAGTAAATAGCAACAGCCAGAGCCTGTGCGTTTGCTTCTTTCAGTGCGTCCGCAGCGTGACTCCATAGTCTGCTTGTTGCTGTTTTGAAGTGAACTTTAGATTTTTGATATGTTTGATTGATCATTCATAAAGTATTGTGCCTGCATGACTTCTTTTAAAAATATGCCTGCCCTTCTTCATCTTCCAGTAATACCTTCGAACATAGAGCATCCAGTGGTCACATTTTTCTGCAATGTGCCTTTGTTGCTCTGTTTGTTTTTTGCATTCTCCATGGCACATGCAGAAACTCCCTGCCCATGTGCTGCCATTCACCCTTGATCTTTGCCCCGTCTTGTGCAGATGTGCCCCCGAGTTTGAGTGCCGGAGCTGTGATAGGATGGCATGCCCTGCGGGGCCTTTAGAGAGGTGTGGTGCTGTTGCCTATACTACTGACCAGGAAAATTAAGCCCCTCCCCCCAATAATCAAAGTCCCAGCACAGAAGAAAGGGTGAGAGAAGAGAATGTAAAACTACCCCACATGGTTATCATGGTGATGGTAATGTGTTATGTGGCAGGGACTGTCCGAATGCTCCATATAACTCTCTTTGAATGTTTCATTTCACTGGGTGTCGTGTGGTGGTGGGCGGGCACTTGTGTGGCAGAGGGAAAATGTGAGACCTGAACATTGTTGCCTTCGAAGGCAATGTGTGTATATAACATCTGTGTGCATCTGCTGTTTTGTTGGGTGAGAATGTTTGACCCTGGGCTTGAAACTGAGATGAATATTAACGTGCCTGAAATTTGTGGTAGCTCACATGAATGAGTGTGTCTTTCAGTTTACCTCCTGATCTTGGCACAACAGATTTGGACTATCACACCCCAGGGTTAATCTATTCTAAACTCGCGGTCAACCAGACACAAGCTACACCGAGTTGCTGTCTAATATATTTTAATCTTATGTGTTTATTACAGATCCTACATAGATGTCAGCCAAATGGACTCAAACATCAACAACCAAATGCACAACAACATGGACCAGGAAGACCAGATTTACTGGCATGAAGACTCAAAACCAGGAACAATAGTGTAGCTGCCTGTCTGCCATTGTGCTGTATGAATTCTTCATGTTGAAAGTTGTCATTGTGCCTTAGACTGCACTTACCTGTTTTTCTGTAAAGGGGATCCAAAGAATGAAGGAGCTTAATGTGGATTTTCACATATAATGATGATCACTTTATTTGGCCAAGTATGTTACACACACAAGGAATTTGTCTCCGGTACAGAACTAAGGCAGCCATCTGCAGTGCCAAGTCACACTGATGGCGGTCGCTGTCTCTGCAGGGCACTGCTCTGGCCATCAGGAGCAACTCGGGGTTCAGTGTCTTGCCCAAGAACACGTGGACTGCAGGCACCACAAATCAAACCTTCAGGCTGGGAGACAGCTGTTTTACTCCAGCGCCACTGCCACAAACAGTCTTCTCGTTTCCTGTTTTCATGAATGCCTTTGCCAAACTTTCCACATCCCATTGGTTAAATCATAAAACTCCATGAGAGTATTCGCCTGTGTGGAGTGCCAGTGTTTGTGATGATGGCACATGTGCACTGAATTTACAGTATACCAGGACCTGCTGTGGAGTATGTGGTATAGCCAAAGAGAACATGGACTAAATTTCTCCAGTGTTTCTCGGGAGGGACACTTCGCAAACCAAGGATGAGGACTGTCTCTGGAAGAGGATACTGATTTGTAATGAACAACAAGAATTGGCCCGTCCTGGTCTGCTACTTACACATGAACATTGTAATCATGAAGGATTGTATGTTGTCAAAATGAAGGATTGAACACCTTAAAACATGGTCAAAAAGATGGCTGCTTTCTGGTACATTTTGTAGTCACCAGATCCAGTTTATCACAGCTTTGAACTAATACTGTGCTTCCTGTACTTTTCTGTCATTTACACAGTATTCAGTTGGTCTCACTGTCAGTACTTGCATATAACTGAGCCAAATTCTTCTGTGTCACACCATTTGAGTATTACCAGAAGTCACCAACTTTGATAATACTGTCACATCTGATCAGGTGCTGCAGGAAAACAATATCCAGTTTTGTTTTGTGTTGTTTTAAATTTTAAAATGGTTACTTCATCCATGCTGGAAATCATGGACTGGTGCTCCCAATTTCTGTCTGAAAATAAAGCTGTATGTACATGTTGGTATTGTAAATACACTGTTTCTGTCTTTATTAAGAGCATTTGTATGTATTTGAAAAGCGTGTAATATATTATAAACAACTGTTAAGCTGGTTCTTAGTAATTTGTATAAGTGCATTTGTTTGAATTAAAAAAATTGAACCAATTGTTTAATTTGTAGGTCATATATATTAAGAAGACCAGGAGGCAGACTCTGAAACCTCTCAGAATTAGTTTTCCTGCACTCAGAGAGTGCAGGAAAACCGATTTAAATCCAAATCTATTAAATCAGGTCACTGAATGTCTGTTGAGTTGGTTCAATTAATGAAATGAGTTTTAAAGAAAGCAGAGATTAGAGCTAAATAACCTAAAATCTCATTTACATTTTATGGCTTTGAAGAACGCGGTTTGTCACACTGGCTTAGGATAATGGTCGTGGTCAAATGGGACTCATAAGTGCATTCTCCACATGTAACTGGGTTGGAAACTGCTGATCTGGAGTGCGTTCAAGGAAGCAGGTTATACTTAGATTGTTGCAGTGAACTGGCCACATCCCTTTAAGAATGAAGGCAGGGCTGGAATCAGTCATGATCAGAACTAATTATGAATAAATGATCTGCTTTAACCTGTGCTCCTGCTGCAGAGCCCTGCTGCTCTGCTGTATCTTCTCTTTGCTGTCTTGCCGGTCTGGTTTTTGTGGCCTTAAGCTGTAAACCAACCAAACCAGTCTTGATAAAGCTGTCATACCCACCAGAGGCTATAGCCTCTTCTGTCCTCCCTGTGACTGACAAGCCAGTGTTTTTAGCCCTAAACCCTCCCTACAGGTATCCAAGTAACATGTATTGAGCCGCCACGTCAGCACCCCCCCATATATATTACACTATATTTTCCTCCCCACATAAGTCTATTCTACTACTGACTGTGTCTCTACCAAGTGCACAGTTCAGCAGCTTTACTTGCTCAGAGTGTGTCAGTGTAATGCTTCTTGTGCAAGCACAGGGTGAGGTCTCAGACATTTCCAGCTCCTCAGTTTTAACCCGAGGCAGGGTTTTGTAGCCAGCTGTCTCTCTCTGTCTCTGTGCCTCTGCTGCTTCACACCAGCTGCAGCCAGACATCAGGAGAGGCTGTTCCAGCTGACACTTGATGGCAAAAACAGTGGGTTCCTATGTTTGCTCTCATCTAACATGCTGTAGATAAAATTCCTTTAATGGGGAGGGTAGATTAGGTCAGAAACATTGAAACTTGCTCTTCAGTCACACAGTTTCTGATTTAAAGCTGCACTAAACAATACTTTTATACTGACAGTGTATTAAATGACTTCAATGTGAAAGGTGTCAATGATAGACAAACCTACATAGAATTATCATTGAACTCTGCAGTTGATCAGCTCTGCCGTGTAACTTTCATGTTTTGGTTCAGTCTCACCGTTTCCACTCCCAAATTTTAGTCACACATCCAGCTGTTTTCAGCACAAAGGCTCTATAAACTGACTGGATGCTGCCCTCCCAGCACGAGATTGAAGACAGACAGTGTTAGCAACCACAGCTAGTAAACACAGTGTAGCATTTGGGAGCTGAAAGGCTAGTTAGGCTAAATAAATATAAGGCTGCTTGTATATGGTACATTGGTACAAAAAAAATGTGCAGAAAATTGGCCCTTTCAAATTTCCTAATACTGAACCCTAATTGTTCCACATGAACTAAGCCCAGCAGCCATAGGGTTCAGTCAAGATCAACTGTAAATCATGTTTCACCTTCCCCAGGATCAGTACATTTTCCTTGATCCTGGGAGCAAATGCTCTGACCAGTTTTGAAGGGTGAATAGTTGGATTAGCTTACCAGTCACATACACTCATCTTGTTCATGGGTTAATATCCATCAAAGCAGCGTGGGTGTATGAGAAGACTAAAGCACTCACAGGAGGACACACCAGATTGCAAAGGTTACAGCGGGTCATCATTAACGTGTGTCACATGATAAGCTTTAGTGTAGGTCCAGGCAGCTGGATCTGCCAAATGACAGCCTGCTTGAGTTATGAGGCTAGCTATCCAGCTTAGCTAGACAAAAGCCAAAGCCTCTCAGGCAAACCCCAGGAGGAGGGGTGTGGATGGAGCGGTCAAGTCGACGGCAGCATGCCATCAAAGTGTGCCTGACCAAACAGAATTCAGTACTGTACAATACTAGATTACTTCCTTGTCCCATGCCTTTCTGTTGTAGATACTAAACAAAGAAGCCAGTGCAAAAACAGTACACAGGTTTGCTCATGCATCACCTCCACTGATGTCTGTGGCCCTGCTGACGGCTATATTTGCATGTAGGCTAATTATGGTTGTTTCGGAATTACAAGCCAGCTAAGTGTTGTTGATTCATGCAAAAACAGAAAGGATACTTGTCGTTGTGCTGCGTGACAGCGCTTCCTCTCCTGGATTACACACCTGTTGGGTGTGCAGCGGCACACACGTGGTGGTAGGATCCTTACAGCAGCTGCAGCGGTGAGAACAAGGACCTCCACTGTGTCCTTAGAGACATGACTTTACTTGAGTTCATTGCCACCGGTGTCTGTGTTCACTCCTCCAAGTTGCACAGTATGGATGGGGACCACGGGAGAGGACATAAATCACCACTGTAGCACAAAGGCATAAAGACCTGCAGCTCGAGCCAAAGTTAAACTAAAAAAAAAACCACCTGAGCATGCACGGTCACAGTAACACGGGCACTTTGTTTTAACAACTAGCACTCTGAAATGATTACTGCTTTTAATGCCCATCATTCTTACCTTTGTTTCTCCCTCTCCTTACACACTGCCTCTGAACACCAAATAACAAGAGCATTATGTTCCACATGGATTCTCATTATCTGCAGTCAATTTCAAACGGAATCCAATAGAAAAAAAAAAACAGCCAAAGCAGCTGACACAGCGACTAACTCAATTTTTGGAGATGAATGACTGCAGATGAATCCACTCCATCACTTTGCAGCGCTCAGCTTTCCGTACTTTAATCTACTACAGCCCATTGATTAGCACAGGAGTAAGTTAGCCAATCCATCACCCAGAGGGCACAGTCCAGATTAAACAGTCTGAGGTGCAGGAGGAATGCTGGTGGGCAGGGGTTAAGACCTCCCACCTTTGAAGTCTTCACTGACACACTGATCTGTCTCTGACTCATGTATTTCAAAGCTCAACACAAAATGTTCCCTTTCATCTGGCTCTCTCTATTTGCATGAGCATAAGATCAGTTTGTTTCTCTTCAAATGCATATTTAAGTAAACACTTACATGTTATGTGGAGAAATTATTCAAAAGCTTGAAACAATCCAGCCTTCAGTGTTTTGGCAGTAATGTGCAAGTGTGTGCTTTTAATTCTTTGTTAAAACACAACACTGGCATTGCCTTCACAGTTTCAGCTGAGCAGAACCTGGCAGGACTGACGGCTGTTTCTGAGATTGATTTAACCCACATTTCATACTTAAGGAGTGCGCAGCTGTACAGCACAGGAACACTGCCACATTGCATAGTGCAGACATGAGGTAGCACTGAGATGCCCTCATCGCTGTTTGACAAAAGTGTCCTGACAAGTTCTGGGTGGAGTGACAGATATCCTGAAGTGAAGCCCTTCAGATAACAAAATGTCTTTTCAAAACACACATGGGTGTACACACACACACTTTAAATGACACAAACTTTAACAGGGATGCATACTTTTGCTACATCTAAGTAAGAAGTCAAGCTCTTTGGCCAAAAGATGAACACATGCGTGTGTGTGCACTCCTTTCCTTTCATGCCCAATCACTCCTTCAGTTTAGCCTCTAGCAAGGTGTGGATCTTTTGAAGGTTCTCTTCTTGCTGACCCAGAGCGTCCAGCAAAATGCCCATTGGTGACCTCTTCAGTCCAGCGCCTTCTATCTTGTTCTCCAGTTTATTCTTCATGTTGCGGAGGCGAAATGAAGCATGTGCAAATATCACTGAAATGCAGATGGGAAAATGACTGTTAATGTTTTAAACACTTAGCAAAAACAAACCTATAAACTTCTAAGATAAAGCTAATCTTTGAAAATTGGAAATCATGATACATATGCACTAATTGAGGAGATATGTAAACCATTAACTCATATTTTTAACATGTCGTTTCGACTTGGTCAGTTCCCCAATAATATGAAACTAGCAAAGGTTATTCCTTTGTATAAATCTGGTGATAAGCACAACTTCACAAATTATAGACCGGTTTCTCTGTTGTCACAATTTTCAAAAATTCTGGAAAAACTCTTTAATAACAGATTAGACACATTTATTGACAAACATAAAATCCTCTCTGATTGCCAATACGGTTTTAGGTCGAACCGATCGACATCTTTGGCCATTGCCGACCTGATGGAGGACATTACAAGTGCTATGGATGAGAAGAAATACACG